GAGTGAATGTAAGATGCATTTATCTATGGGTGTGTTTGTGCTCTTGCAAAAGTTTTCAGTGGGGTGTTGTGAACCAAAGGTGAGCCAGTCACCACAAGTAGGTGTGTGTGAATTTCAAACAGGCAATATTCCCACTTATGGAAGAAAATAATTTTAAACACATTAAGAGCTTTCTACTTCATAATGATAATCATTTTCTAAAAAGAGAGGAGGGAACTCTTATTGATCTAGTACACGTTAAATACCACGTGAGATACTTTATTCCTATTATCTTACATAGTCTTCACAACTCACCCACGCAGGTAAAAACTAACCCAATTTTAATTTTTTTATTTTTTTAATATTTTTTTATTGATTTCAGAGAGGAAGGGAGAGGGAGAGATAGAAACATCAATGATAAGAGAGAATCTGATTGGCTGCCTCCTGCACGCCCCCTACTGGGGATTGAGCCCACAACCTGGACATACGCCTTTGACTGGAATCGAACCTGGAACCCTTCAGTTTGCAGGCCAATGCTCTATCCACTGAGCTAAACCAGCTAGGGCCAAGGCTAACTCAATTTTATAGATGAGGAATCTGAGCCTTGTCCAAAGCAACCTAGGTAGAAAGAGCATGGGTTTCAGAGAGGTCTGATTTCAGAGTCTGTAATTTCATTCTCTACCACAGTCTCAACTAAAATGTGATGAATAAGTAATTAGACCTCACTCCAGTTTTCAGTGATATGGAATATGATTTTAACTTTTTTTATTCAGAAAGCTTACTTCACACCTTATGTGAGAGAGACTTAGAGATGTCTGCTCAAGGCTCACAGCCGTCAAGCTGAATGGGTTCTAACGGCAAACAGAACAATCCCCTGGCAGGGAGGACCCCTTCCTCTCTGGGCTCCTTCCCTAACCATCTCTCTCAACCCCCATCAGGGCCCAGATCCTCCTCCTCTGCCCACGTCCTTCATGATGACACTCCTCCCTGTTCAGTCTTCACTTCAGATGCTCTCTGCCCTCCATAGGCAATCTCTTCTATGCCCTTGGCTTCACCACCCCTTAAACTACCTGCAGCTCACACCTCTGCAGTTCTCCAGACGTAATTTGCATAGATAGCTCGCTGAGCTCTCCAACGCAACTATTCCAAAGTCTAACTCATTTTCTTCCTGATCCACCCTTCCCTAAACATTCCGTTCCTTCTTCCTCCTGTATTCTGTGTCTTGGCACCACCACCTGCCCAACGAATCAGGTGAGAAATCACGGAGTCATTTGGGACTTCCCCCAGTTATATCCAGTTAAGCCTTGAGGTCTTCTCATCAATCGCTCTCAAATGCATCCATTTTTCTCTTCTCCTTCAGCCAGTGTCTTGGTTAGTTGTGGCACTCACCACCCATACCCCCGACCATTGGCAGCAGGTGGTCTCTGGCCTCCAAAGTCCCTGCCAGTGTGCACCCCCACCTCTAGCTGCTGTAGCTAACGCTCCATTAAGTAAAATGTTTTATCTCCTTCTCCAACTTAAAGCCTTTTTCTGGTGTCTTCGTGCCTACAGGATAATAGCATAAGGGCTCTACACATTCCATCTGCCCCACTGTACACTCCAACATGAAACTCCATCATCAAACTACTTCAAGTTTCCAGAATATAGCTTCTTTAGCCCTCTCTGCCTTGGTAAACGTGCCTCCACCCAATTGCCTTGCTGACTTCTAATTATTGCCTTTTCAGGAAACTAGACTGGTTAGTCCTGAAGGGTCCATCTTCTTTGAGACGCTTCCCTTTGCGCCCTGTGCTCACACCTATCTCTGCTTCACGGTCACTGTATAGCTTTGTTTGTAGGTGTCTCCCTTTCCTATGCCAGATCCTTGAGGCCAGCACAAGGCCTACCACATAGTGAATGCTCAATAATTGTACTTATTTAAATTACATGAAAATGTTATATTTTTAAAGTTCAAAGTCCACATCTAAGAGAATCTTATCCAGATGAAACTCGGAAGAGAGCAGTTCAACACAAGCTTCTTTGAAGTCATTTCTGTGACCACCTGTTTATTGCGTATTCAGTACAACCACCTAACAACCAAGTGAGGCAACTGAACCCCGAGTTGGGTTATGGACTGAAAAGTACAGTCACAAGGGACATTGCAATTAGAGAAAATGGAAATGGATTATATGTTAGGTGATATTATTGAAATAATGTTCAGTTTCTTGGGAATGATAATGGCATTAGTCAGCCAGGGTGTCCTTTCTTTTAAACATAAAAAGCTTTATGATGTCTGTAACTTATTTTCAAAGAATTCATTTTAAAAGAACATAATATAGCCCTAGCTGGTTTGGCTCAGTGGATAGAATGTTGGCCTGCCGACTGAAGGGTCCAGGGTTCGTTTCGGTCAAGGGTACATGCCCTGGTTGCAAGCTCAATCCCCAGTAGGGGCGTGCAGGAGGCAGCCGATCAGTGATTCTCTCTCATCATTGATGTTTCTATCTCCCTCTCCCTTTCCCTCTCTGAAATCAATTAAAAATAAATAAGTAAATAAAAGAGCATAATATACAGAGAGATACATAAAATGTGGGAAAATGTTAACTGATAAAAAAAAATGTGAGTATTCTTTGTACTAATTGTTCAACTCTGCATGTTTGAAAATTTTCCCAAATAAAACATTCTGGGAAAATGCTAAGAACACAACCAAAATTAAAATAAATATTTTGAAATTTGAAAGGCACAGTCAGCCCTCACAAATTTGCTCTCCTCGTTGACCAACCATCACAACTGTTGGTTTTTATTTGCCTAAATGGTATCATATCACACTTGAGAAACTTAGGCAAATAAAAGTGTGCTTCCTAATTGGTACATGTAATTCCTTGAGATCAACCGTTGAAGATTTTCATCTAGGAAAATTTTCAGTGATAAGGAAGCAAGAAAGGTTGGTGGAAGTAGTCTTGCTTTAGTTCTTTCAGAATTGCCAAGTCTCTAGTAAGAGCTAGTTAATTTTGCTGTGAAGGTGATAAAAATTTAGCCCTTCTCTTAAATTTCTATTATATTCAGAGGGAAGTTAAGAAAAACAATAATTTATCACCTTTATTTAATATAGTTAATGAATGCCCAGCAGGTGTGGCTCAGTGGTTGAGCATTGATCTATGAATCAGGAGGTCACAGTTTGAGTCCCAGTCAGGGCACATGCTGGGTTATGGACTCGATCCCCAGGAGCAGGCGTGCAGGAGACAGCTGATCAATGGTTCTCTCTCATCATTGATGTTTCTATCTCTCCCTCTCCTTCTTCTCCAAAATCAACAAAAATATGTTAAAAAAAAATAGTTAATGAACCTATTTTATTAGATAGTCTAATGTACCCAAGAGAATTGAAAATATATAGCTATAGAAACAAACAAAATAAGAAAGAAAAGAAAAAACAAAAAATTAACAGAAAACATATGGCTACACAAAATCTTGTACATGGCTATTCACAGCAGCATCCTATATAATAAAGAAGTGATAGCAAATTAACCCTCACACCCTCACAAGAAGGCTGCCTACGACCAGGCCGGCAGGGGGGTTAGTGAGGGACTACCAAATGACTGAACAAGCAGGCTGCATGGGCAATTAGGCTGGCAGGAGGGGCAGTGAGGGGCAACTAGACCAATGGGGAGCAGTTGGGGGTGACCAGGCCAGCAGGGGGACAGGTAGGGGCAACCAGGCAGGCAGGCAGGTGAGTGATTAGGAGCCGGCAGTCCAGGATTGTGAGAGGGATGTCTGATCCTGGGGATTGGGCCTAAACCAGCAGTTGGACATCCCCCAAGGGGTCCTGGATTGGAGAGGGTACAGGCTGGGCTGAGGGGACCCCCTCACCCCCCTGCACGAATTTCATGCACTGGGCCTCTAGTTATTCATAACAGCCAAAAATAGAAACAATACAAATGTCTATCAACTGATGGATAAACAATGGGACATTAGTCATAGAAAGGAATTAAATACTGATACATGACACAATACAGATGAAAATATTATGCTAAGTTAAAGAAACCAGACACAAAGGCCACATAAAGTATAATTTCATTTGTATAAAATGGTGAGAATAAAGAGTTTATTAGTGTTTGCCTGGAGCTAGGGATAGAGGGGTCAGGAATAGGGAATTATTGCTAATGAGCACAGGGTTCTTCTGGGGGTGACAAAAATGTTCTGGAATTAGATGGTGGAAATGGTGGTAGAACTTTGTGAATATATTAAGAAACACTGAATTGTGCACTTTAAATGGATGAATACTATGGTATGTGAATTATATCTTAATTGTATTTTTAAAAGTTAACATAGCCCCAGCTGGTTTGGCTCAGTGGATAGAGCATCGGCCTGGGGACTGAAGGGTCCCAGGTTTGATTCTGGTCAAGGGCACATGCCTGGGTTGTGGGCTTGATCCCCAGTAGGGGGCATGCAGGAGGCAGCCGATCAATGATTCTCTCTCATCATTGATGTTTTTCTCTCTCTCTCCCTCTCCCTTCCTCTCTGAAATCAATAAAGATATATATATTTTTAAAAAGTTAACATAAAGCAATTTTATGGAACACTCCAAGGGGGACCCAAGGGCTTGCTGGGTTTGATTTCGCCTTTGGTCTCCAAGTCACCACTGGCCAGAGTAAAGAGAGGCCCCAGACGCTGCAGGGTGCTGTGCACCCTCCTCCCTACCACCCTCACAGGGTCATCGTAGGGCCAATCTCAGCAGACCCCACATTCCCACTCACCACCAGAATCCCAGTACAGTCTTTGTGCACATCTCATACCCCATCTCTTCTTCACTGTCCTTCACTGTATTGTCCTGTACTGTCATTCAATATTTGGGTTTGTTCATTGCTTTATCTCACCTGTATCTAAACAGTGCTGAGCCAACAGTAGGTGCTTAATAAATTTCTAGTGAATAAAAGTTTACACAGAAATTTGCACTGAATATTAATTAAAATATGACTCTATGCTTTAAAATGTTTTTTCTCCCATAAGACTTTCTCCTCCATTTAAATAGGTATTTAATCTTTAAGAAATCTTGCACAAATGGTATTTTATTATAGATAATAAAATTTATGAATCTTTATACATGTTAAAACATTCAGGCATCATAAACATAAATATTTCAATATTCAAAATTCAAATTTACAACAAGAAATTTATTTTTAGACTGTGGTTATTGCTGCGCCAACTTTATAATTCCTTATTCAGAGTCAAGAGTGTAGGCAAGCCCTAGAAACGTAGCAGAAGCACTTCCGTACACTGGATCCATAATCTAGATTGTGCAGAAGTGTTTCCGCTAGATTCATAGAGCGCTCTATGGAAGAAAGAGGCCAGGACTGGTCATCTGGTTGCCCTTCGGACCTTCTGCAACTCTTCAATGGGTTTCCATTGTTGGTTGATCGTTATAAGCTTAAATAAAAAAGCAAAATAAAGCATTTCGTTAGGATCTGTCCTTCATCCTTACATCCCCCTTTGGGATTTGTCCACGCTCCTCTTTAGAAAAAGCATCACCTTAGCATTTGTAGCCAAACAATCACCTCCTCTTCCCATCTCTAAAGCATGGACAAAACAGTAATATCGGTTGGTTTCTATCACACTCAACCTCCAAAAAGCCCTTGGGTTCCTGAGTGTTACAGGATCAGAGAGAAAGGTCTTATCCATCCGTCCCCTTTCATTTAACAAGATCTAGATTTTTAAATTTCTCATGGTTTTATAAGTTTACAAAGTAATCTGCTCCCTGTGCGTGGATGTGTAATGCTCCTAGCACGGGGTGTGGCAAAATTTCCTCATTGTAATTACTCAATTAAAGGACTCACATTCAGAGATTCTCATTTACCCTCACAATTCTTCTATTACCCCAGGACCTAGGCGATGTAGGTAGTTTTAAAAGATCCTAAGTGTCCTCACCAGGTCAAACTGTGTTATTTGAAATTTTTGTTTAAAAATAAAATAGCTTTCCTGACAGACCTAAATAGTGTTCAATCTAACAGATTAAATGTTTCTCACTTCCAAAATATTTAAAATGTAAAAAGTATTTGCAATAGTCTCAAAAAGGTAAGTGAATATTAGCTACTTTTGCTTAAAATGCAACTTCTGTTTTCAGGAACTCCTGTAATGGTCCATAATACACCTTGTATTAACTTTAGATAAATAATGGAAAAAGTGAGATATTAATATATGGGCCAGGCATGGTGCTAAAGGACTCTCTGTATTTTATCTTCTTTAATCCTCTTAAGCCTGTTATTGTACCCATTTTATAGATTCTGAGAGCCTCAAAGAGGCCAAGTTGTCTAAATCACCTGTGAAGCTCAGCTGGTGTGGCTCAGTGGTTGAGCGGCGACACATGAACCAGGAGGTTATGGTTTGATTCCCAGTCAGGGCACATGCCCGGGTTGTGGGGTTGATCCCCAGTAGGGGGTATGCAGGAGGCAGCTGATCAATGACTCTCTCTAATCACTGATGTTCCTATCTCCCTCTCCCTTCTGCTCTCTGCAATAAAAATATATATTTTTTAAAAAATAAAATTGCCTGTGAATAATGAACAAGAGTCTGAACTAGATCTCTACAACTCTGTAACACTCTCTTTAACACTACATACACCAAATGGCACCCTAAAAGTGAAAGGTATTAAACCTATTTTGCTGACAATGATGCTAAGGCTTGGCTAAATGTAAATCACTTTTTAATGCGGCAATTACCTTTCCAGGTACACTGGGATCCACATTTTCCCAAGGTTCTGGATTTCTTTTTCGATCAATGCTAAACAGAAAAGAAAGCTGATGAAATATTAACGTAGGTGCATTTAAACCAGCCCTGATATGGGGTCTATAAACATGCTAGGGACAGATCCGGACTGCATGCTAAGGCTTCCATCCGTTGGTGAGCTGCAATTGACGGAAGATTCCTTAAAGGAGCTTCGGTTTGGCTCAGACACTAGGGGTTATTTCCTCTGCAGGTGAGGAGGTCTGGATTCCACTTACTGGGCTCGACTGGAGAACCTTCTCACAAGCTAAAGAGCAGCAGGGGTGGAAGTCCAGGCCAGGAGGAAGCACAAATGTGCTTGCCCACAGGACCAGCAGGAGGGCTGGGCTCGGCCGCTGCAGGGGGTGAACCGCGGGGTCCTGGGTCCCGCTCCCAGAGCTGCCCTTTCCAGCCCTGCGAGCTCAGTTCCAAGTTTCTCTTTTCCCCGTGTCCCAGAAAGCCTGGTATTTCACTTATTATATCCACAGCTGAGACTGGGTCCATTGCCAACAACTAAATCTACAAACTCTACTGCATTGGGAACGATCTTTCCAGTAAACTGAAATTTTATTTTATTTTTTTAGTAAACTGAACATTTAAAATTTCATTTAAAATGACCTAAGTCTGATAGCCCAAAAGACCATTTAAGAATTTTAAAAGTCAAAACTTTATCAAACTTTACTTTGCTGCCGGAGAAGAGGGAGTGGAAGTGGATGGAAGGACACTGAGAACCAAGGAACGAACTAATTTTATGAAAATCACAATTTGCAGTCTTCTGACACCAGGATGCTTTCCAGCCCTGACTCCCCTTCTCAGCTGGGCGGTTTTGTCCAGGGGAGGGGGAAGGGGAAGAAGGAAATTGATGTCATACATTTCATAAGCTGAAGGTCCCCCAACATTTCTAAAAACGTGTCTGTGAATGATGTCTACTTACATCACATCGGGTTTTTTATTAAGGGAATAGACAGCAAAAGATGACGCTCCGCTCGCTGCCGCCGTTATGATCAACGCCAAAGGAATAAGCTAACAGAGAACATTGAATTCGTTAAATTAAGGGCAAATGCCGCTGCTTCAAAGTGAAATGTAACAGAATAGCTATGCACCACCTGCTCATCTTTAAAAATCAAAAATTGTAGTCAAGATTTTTCCATTGCTTTAAATACTTACTTCCTTATTTTTCATCAGGACTCGGAAAACCTTCATGATGACCGCAGTGTAGAATGCCAAATCTAGACTAAAAAAAAAAAAAAAAAAAACCAAGATGTTGATGAAATTTCAGCCCCTAGGACCACACTCTGTGGGCGCCAACAGATCCAACGAACTCTCCAAGGCAGCCTGCGGCCGGCTCACCTGGGGGCGGGGCGGGGCGACCGAC